GAGGAATGACCGTGAGAAGTGATGGGTAGAAAAATGTACGGAGATGGAGAAAGCTGTGGCTTTCGTTAATAGTTACACTCATTTCCCTGTAATTAGGAATAAGGGGATCGAAACATAGGTGTAAGTGAGGTAGTCAAGGAGCCTGATGCCGTCTTGATCGATTTGCTCCAAGGGGATACATTGTATGATCTATGCAGACTACATTGTACTGCTAAGTAGAGATCCCGGTAAATTGCAAGCTGTTCTGAATAGTTTAGGTGCTAGTGTAGCCATATTCGGTGTGTGTTGTGCACCTTCGAAGTGTGAAATGTTAGAGGATGAGGTTGACCCAACCTCAACTGCCCAACTGCACTCTTAGTAGAGAAGTAACAAAGCCCGGNATCTCACCCGACGGACGTATCATGTTTGAAATGTCAACTCGCATACAGGAGGGCCCACTGGAAGTTGACAACTTGAAACATCTGTGGTGCGGTCGGAACATTCGGCTATTTGTGGACGGGTCGAGTGTATACTGAAGCAATTCGACCAGTGGGGTTTTACGGTGCAGAGAACTGGCCTATACGGGAACGGGATAAAAAAAGATAGTCTGTATTTTGAACACCGCTGTCTATGTAGCGTTGTACGAATCTGGTGAGGAAACTAGATAAGCAAGATTGAAGTCGGACAGAGAGTTGAATATAATCGCGGTCACACATTGAGGCGAACGCTCGAGTTCCATAGACTACGCTAGTTGAGACCTGTATTGCCCACGTCACTAAATAGATCACAACGGCGTGCTATGCGTGCCGAAGCAGGCAGTGGGCGGAAAAAGACCTGACATGAGGGTTTGGAAACCCGAACCAAGAGGCTCGGTCATATGGATCACTTTCCGCTTCCAGGATGGGGATATTGGGATCATCGTCAGCAATGGTTAGAGACACTGAGTAGTAATAGTAGTAATATGATTGAGAGTCGTAAACAGTGGGGATCGCACACCTCAATTTCTTTGCAATCCTAGTTTGCCGGAATTGTCTATTTTCTCTTCAACACTGCTTTTAGATTTTCCATCTTCTTTCTATCCCTTCATCTATAGATGGGCCAACATGAGACAGCAACCACAAACCCCACACTAAGATGTATGATTAATGATTGTTCAGACTGAAACTGAAAGTATTTAAATCACACATGTCGATCTTAGGGTCTGAGACCATATCATTGGGATGCTCATCGGACGTGAGGGATGCACTGAAACCGTTGTGAAAAGGATATGAAACAATTTAGAAATAATAAAGTGGTATTTATTATGCATCTTCGATTCAGTCGAGCTGATTGGAATCAAATGCGATATCCATGGCAGAGAGTTTATTGTTTACGCTCATTGCAACTGATACACGGGGCTCGAACCCTCACACTCCGAATGGGTGTGTTCTGCTGCTGGCAATTCCTTACAAACCAGATACGAAAATGAAACAGTGCCGTCTGACCTCGATGGTACACCACACGATAACAACTAAAGTTCACTGAATGGTTACACACACACAACCACAATACCAGTTAAAACATTACCGATAATGCAACGCTTACATTGCCCGAATCGGTCCACTCGGGACCGATAAGAACACAGACCAATTCCGGACCGTATTCGTAAGCAATCGGAAGTAAAAGATGAAACAGTGCCGCGCACAAATTGGCACACAACATCGTGGGACTAGTGGACTGTTTGTTCTCGAACGAACCGACGGTAGACCCCGGGCTGGACACGGTCCGGCGTACCGGGACCAGAGGGATACGAAGCCACTGAGCCGAACGAAGTGCTCGTGTGATGGGATGTGCACGAAACAGTTGGGTGACTCGGAGCTGGGAGGGACAGGCGGCCAATTGGTTGGTAATTGTACCCGTGTACAGTGAACACCATAGAAGACTGGATGAATACGGGTGTGTGTGTGTGTGTGTGTGTGGGAGAGAGAGAGATGAGTTGAATAAGTAACGAAAGACAAACAGAATAATTCATGTCCCATTCTTGTATAGCATAAAATAGGATGTTACAAAAAACCATGTGGAACGGTGTAGTTGACAAGCGAAAGTGACCAATTAGTCGGAAGTAATTGAATTAGGTTCAAATTGACACAGACAGACAAATACACACATACACACACACACACACACGCATCGTTATAACATTTTTTTGATGGACTTTGATCAGGGCCTCGTTGAAGGAGTACGACTGATCCACTCCGTATCCCCTATAAGGGTAGCAGCACAGTTGACTGTGACACAGAGTGTTACTTAAATTTACAGGATCATACCGAATGCACTCGAATTGAATCGTTATGCACCGAGATGAATAAATCGTATTGGTCATAGCCAACAGACAGCCAATCAGATAAGAAAGGGGCATATGTGTTGTGTTCAGATTGACCAGAAAAGAACAATTGGCAATCGGCTAAAACGGTCACATTGTTTTCAATCAACAATCAACTGCCACAGGAGGTTGAATCGAATCCGGGGTCAGTTTTGATATCCAACCAAATTATTTGTGCGAGAATTCCGACAAAACACTTAAGGTAAACAAACATTCGTGTTCCCGTGAAAACCGAGTCCCTACTCGAAGACTCACAACCACGTGATGAATGAAAGCAGATGAAGTGAAAATCCGCAGATAAGAAAATCTCGTGGTCCTTAATGCGAACAGGTAACCTAACACCGGGAAACTGGAGCCGAGTCGGATTTTTGGAGATAGTCAAAACACGAACGTATTTGTCTGTGTTCTCTATGTGTATGCACAGTAATGACTGAGAACGATTGTGCAACTACCACTCACCGAAAACATATGTTCGCCTACAACCTGATAATGACTATGGGTTTATTCTGTGATTTGAAACTACCACTCCATATCGATCGATGTGGAAAGGTGAACATGCTGAAACAAATTTCCGGAATGCCTTGTTTGAATTATTATCTCCGATGTCAATTGTTCACATATTGGACTTTATTACGCCACACCTTTACTCGAGTTAATTTCAATTCGGTATTTCTCCCATATGGATCAGTTCAGTCAGGCCATATTGCATAATAGTTTACCTCAACTGACAACAAGTGTACTTCTGGAGTTAGGAGTAGGGAATGGTGGTGGTGGTGGTGGTGGTGGTGGTGGAGGAGGAATGTGCGGCGACTGTTCAA